GCGGGTGGGTGGTGAGGAGGTACATGGGAAGAGACGGTGGGGAGGGGCTAAGCAGGGAGTGGGTGGAGCAGGGGTGGAGTGCAGGCAGAGCTGGGAATGAAGAGGTGGAACAGGGAGCTAGCCTCCCCCAGGGGAAGCTTCACCTGCCACCCATGGATATACAATCCAAGGTGTTAGGATTAGCTAATAGGCATACAGGGCCTTGCTTAGTCAGTGAGGTTTCCAATGGCAGCCGATGGCATTAAAATATCTAGGAATCCTAATCCTCAGAGATTTAAAGCAAATAACTCAAATGCGTTTAGACCTGATTATTACACAAGTCACCAATGACCAGAGTAAATGGGAAACTACACGCCTCAACCTCTGAGGAAAAATAAACACGGTAAAATGGACGCACTACCCAGATTAATATATGTGCTCAGGGGTCTCCCACACCAAATACCCCAACCCTATTTTCAGAAAATCAGGGATCTCCTTAAAACTAATGTATGGAGAATGGGGAACCACCCACACATTTCCTTTAAGAGACTTCAGCTACCAGTTGAACTAGGGCAATTAGATTCCCAAATCTGTGGCTGTCCCATCATGCCTTTATAATAAGCTGGGCCATGCGATGGGCATACGCTATCTCAAATAAAACGCCTACACAGGTGAGTGTCAAGAAGTAGCTGCCCTTCCTTTTACCGCAAGCAGCTAGATTAGGCCCTGGATACTGTAGATACTATAATGATCTAATCCCCGCCATTCATACAGGCCATCAGTGATGGGCCAATTTAGTATGCCACCCAAATTCCACCTTCTTCTTGCATAGAGTTCCCAGTCTGGGGGAATCCCATGCTAAAAACTGGGGGGAAGATAAAGTGGAAAACTGGATGGAATGTGGCATGCAATATATATCCCACTTAATAACTGAAGTCCGGATTACACCACTGACCTCTCCACAACCCCAATACAACATGCCAAGTACTGCAGTATGGCAACACATTCAGATCTGTCATCTCAGAATTTGGCCTGGAAGCACCTGCGCTGTCCAAAGTGCCTGAACTCCTCCAGTTTTGCAGAGAGCTATACTATTTCCCCAGACTGGCAGCTATGCTGTGTGACAGCCTAATAACACATCAAAGAGTTCATATAGTTGCAATGAGGCCAAAATAGACCAAAGAACCGGCAATCAATATCTCACCCCCATAGGGGAATACAGCAATCAGAAAAAGAAATGACCTTGGACCTCTCTTTATGTCTCATTCAACAAAAATATCCTCTTTAGGGGGTATTGGTCACCACAAAGACTTTACAAAATTAAAGCTGCCCCCGAAGATCTATGTTGGAGGTGTGAGGATGGAGGAGCTACACTTGCCTATGTGTTTGGGACGTGCCCAATTGTTTCAAGCTTCTGGGATGGCATTAAGACCTGAATTAACGTGGTCCTAAAGACTTTGCTCGACTTACAGCAGATACCTGCACACTGGGTCGTGCAAAGGGCAAACCCCAGAAAAAACTGACTCCATCTGGGACAGTTTCCTGGCGACTAAAGATCCCTGCAGGCAGTCCAGATAAAAAGCAGGAGATAAATCCATATGCTCCCTCCCCATCCCCTCTCCTCTTAGGGTATGTCGGCACTGGAGCCGGAAGGTATCATTTCCAGCTCCAGGAGACATACCCGTACTAGCTGTGATTGAGCTAGGATGCTAAAAATAGACATGGAGCAGGAGGGACCAGCTGTCCAGAGTACAGTTTCAGCTGAAACCCTAGGCACATGCTCAGAGCAGCTAGTCCCCCCCTGCCACTCACACTGCACTTGAGCTGTAAATCACACCTGCCAGCTCCAGTGAAAGAGCTCTCATATTATTTGGATATGCTCCAATAAGGAGAAAAGAGGTTGAGAGAGGTTTTTTGTTTTGTTTTGTGAGACTGGGGCAGAAGGCAGAGAAGAAAAGTGTGAAATTGATTTTATATTTGGCATTTAAAATCCAGGCTTTCCCCAGTGGTATCTAGCCATCAGAATTATTTCCTCTTCAACACTCAGCACACTTTGGATAATATATACAGTTGAGTGAATATTAATTATGCAAAATACTATGACATACTGATATAGCTTGGGTAGTGTGGTGCAGCAACCATCTGATGCTGGTTTGGTGGCCTCAATCTAGTTGGCAATGGTCATGACAAAACCATTATCACAACTGCCTCCTTCTCTTTGTTTGTAGCCTCACAGCCAGGCCAGGGCCTCAGTGACACTATTTAACTCTCATATGACACTTTTCACCTGTAGGTCTCAGAGCACTTTATAAGGAGCAAGGTCATTGTCCTCATTTCCAGCTGAGGGAACTGGACATGCAAGCTAGGTTAGTGACCGACCCCAGATCTGAAACTCCCGCATCCCAAAATGCTGGGAAATGTGACCGGACCCTGCTTCCATAATGTGAGGTAACAAAAGCCTGGATCGTAACAGCCTTGAACTCTGGGACAGTCAGGATAGGAAGCTGAGCTGTGTGACTCTCACCCATTCAGTTTGTAAGTGAACATGCCTCATCCTTCCAGCCTGCAGGGAGAAACTCCCCCATATGTCATGCATGTGTGTGTACAGAAAATATTTGATTAAATTTGAGAAAACTCTGATAGTTGATAACTTTTTGAACTCTACTTGCCCAGAAGTGATTAACAAAGATTCTCCCAGGCAGTTCAGAGGCTTTGTCCCATATTCTGGCGGGGTCAGGCTATGTCACTGAATCTCTGACATGTGTGCTGCTCTTTCTGGTGGCATAGGAAAGGCCGGCTACACTTGTTCCTATCCAGAAGAAGGAACATATGTGCACATTAGCTCTGGATGAACTATGGTTTTCAGTTGAGTTTGGATCTTAACATGAGTCATAGGCCTAAAGCATGCAACCAAAAAGAATGAGATCACAAGAAAGAGGCATTGTTTGTGCTAAACTTGTAGTGACCCTGGAAATACCAGTGTTATCTGATTTAAGGTTTGGGTTGAGGTAATAGAAATAAAGAAAATATGGTTAATTGGGCCCCAGGTGCAGTAAATAATTGTTTTGTTTAGTTTATTATAAAGAAATGTATAGTTTAGGAGTTAGAAAGGAATATGGTAAAATGAGAGAAGAAGGAAACCTTGAGAAGAAAGGGGCCCAGCCATGTATCTTGTCTTAACAAAACCAGAGGGCAGGATTCCACCGTAAAACTCCTAGCTTTAGCTAAGGTCCAGTAACTGGCAGTGACATCACTTGTGTATAAAACAGCCAGGTTTTCTAGGGGCTCTTTGTCAGAGCTTTTCCTTACCCCTCTGGATAGGGAGACCAGATGTCCCGATTTTATAGGGACAGTCCCGGTTTTGGGGTCTTTTTCTTATATAGTCTCCTGTTACCCCCCACCCCTGTCCCGATTTTTCACACTTGCTGTCTGGTCACCCTACCGCTGGAGGATGCTGTGATGGGACGGCACCTCCCAGGCTTGATCCTGTTGTGGGTATTTTGGCCAGTGCTTATAACTGAATTGCTGTTGGGTACAGAATATGGGTAGATAGGCTGAGTCATGTTAATCCTTAATAAACTGATTAGGTGCTGAGCACTCTGGCGAGGTACTGAGTTCCGCTGACTCACGTTCAAGGCAATAGGAGATCAATGCCTCCCAGGACTGGGTCCATAACGTTGCACTGCAGCAGCTAAACACTAAAAAACACCAATCAGGTCATGCCTACCCCAGCCATTGAAGGATTGTTATGGTTGTGAGGTGGATTCAAGCTGTAAATGGTCAGCAGAGAATACCCCTTGTGGAAGGCAACACCTTACTGGCATAAAGCTAGCATAGCCAACTCTGGTGCCAGCCAACCCCCCCCCCCATCCCCCAGAGTAGGGTGTACCTCATCCAGTGCACTAAATGCCCCAATAACATGGATGAAACCAGACAATCACTATGCTCTCCAGTGAACTCGCACAGAAAAATTATAAAAGACAAAAACATCCTTATCACTTGTGGGTGATCACTTCTCACAAAGCGACCACTCCATAGCTGACCTCTCAGTTCTCATCCTCAAAGGAAACCTGCACAACATCTTCACAAGATGAGCTTCAATTCATAACTCTGCTGGACACTCAAAACCGTGGACTTAACAGAGTTTTATGGTTGTATGACTTATTCCAACAATTTGTAACACATCCCGCTGCCTGCTAGCCCTTAATTGCTCACTCCATTGTAAGTGGTCTCTTCCAATATGTCTGAACCCCTTCTGTTTAACAATCTGTCCAACCTTGTATTTTGCTGTGACATTCAGGTTACCTTCTTCAGACTTGAAGAAGAGCTCTGTGAAGCTCAAAAGCTCGTCCCTTCCACCAACAGAAGTTGGTCCAATAAAAGATATTATCTCACCTACCTTGTCTCTCTCAATTGTTTCCATAGCAGTCAGGCACCCAACCTGTTCAGGCTCATATGTAATTCCCACTAGGCATCTATCTGCATCTTTAGGTGACTAAATAGAGCTGGTCAGAAAATTTTCTGTGGTAGAATGAAGTTCCATTAAAATAAAAATGATTCACAAAACTGTGTCAATTTTGCTGAAATTTTGTTTTGGAGAAAAAAGGGGGGGAAAGTCCCATTTCAACATTTTCAAAGCAAAACATTTTTATTTTTCCTTTCAAAAGTTTGGTTTGAATTTTAGTATTTTGTGTTATATTATATATTATAATATCATAGGAAAAAATAATTTATATTCTGTTTTTTTTAATATATTTTTTTTTGCAGAATTTTGAAATTTTGGGATTTTGTTCCTAATTGGACTGAAAAAATTCTCAGCAAAATGGAATTTCCATTCTCTGCACAACTCTACTAAATGCCTTTGGAAATCTCACCCTTAGTGATTTACATGCAGGTTTGTATCCTTTATATATTTCTATCTAAAGCACCGTCGCAGTAATACATGTAGGAAGAGGGGAATTTGAACTTTACATTTTGCATGCCAAAACACTATAGAAACTGCTGACAGCAATGACCCTTACCTTTTATCCACTCTGTTGTCTGAATCTGAAGAGAGAGCAATAAGAAAAGGTGGTTATGTGAGATACCAGGGATAGAACTGACATCAAAGGGACTGTTGTCTCACAATGGATAGCAGGATCAAGCCCAATATAAACTATAATATATTATAAAATTCCAAATTCTTTCTGAACCCTTTAATTTGGAACATTTGATATTCTGCTTCATCAAGACTGCGCATGAGCTAATATCACAGCTTATCAGCCCCAAATGCAGTGAAAAACAATTCTGAGAACAGATACGTGATGATCAGGGAATTAGGAGGAATGGACGTGATTTTTTAAAGCTGTTATATAGCAGCAATAAGAGAAATTTAGGCCTCCCTCTTAACAGCAAATCTTCAGTGTCTATACAGAGTTAAGTTCTCCTTTAAAAGACCCATATTTATACTAAATAGCATAGAATCAAGTTACCTACCTTAGAAGAAAGGGGTGAGACCCTAGCAGGATCTGACCCTGTGGTTTCAGACCGTCTATTGCCACTCTGAAGGTGATGCCACTAAACCAGTGGTTTTCAACCTGTGGTCCGTGGACCCCTGGGGGACCACAGACTATGTCTAAGGAGTCCGCAAAAGGTTGTCATTATCATACAGTTGTGGTCTTCAACCTGTGGGGGGTGGACCGCAGACTGTGTCTAAGATTTCCAAAGGATCCGCACCGTCATTCGAAATGTTTTAGGGGTCCGCAAATGAAAAAAGGTTGAAAACCACTTGCGTTAAGCCCCTGTACTGAGGTAGGTGGTGGGACTGGTGTTGGAGCTACTTGTCCTGCAGTGCTATTGACCTAACAGGCTTAGGTGGCTGCCACGTTGGCAAAGCCTTTACTTCTGTTGATTGCATGAGGATTACCACCGTGTTCCAACCACAGAAGCAAATGTTTTCAAATGCAGGCTATGGATGGCCAAGCAAATACATAGCCATGCTCTCATTCTTTCTCTCTGTGAACATTCCAAGGTCTTTCACAATATTTTCCTTTTTAATACGTGGCATGGTTTTCATGGCACAAACTGGCTACCTGCTTAAAATTTCCCTTCATCTAAACAGAGGCTAGATTAGCATCAGTTCCCTGCATGACTGACAAATTGTGCTTCACCTGCTACTGGGTATGTAAATGTGCACGTGGAATTAATCACAACAATGTCATCGAAGAGAGTACCTGCTTGGGACCAGGGCCACACAATAATTACATTTCCATCAGAGGCGGGGCCTTTTACCTGTTTTTCCATGATCATGTTACATGAAATTGCATCATGACTCCATTTTGTGCTATAATGCAATTCAAGATGCCTTTTTTTAATAGAAGGTGGCTTGGGAAAGGTATTAAAGATCAATATTCTGTAATTCAAGACAACACAAGTTTTCAGGCTATGAGGCTGAGAAGGTTTTTTCCAAGGATTCCCTCAGCTCTAGGGTATCTGGATCTGGGATACTGGTTGAGACCCAGCTCTGCAGTGCTTGGGACATAAGACTTCCAAGAAAAATCCCCTCTAACCCATGCTCTGGCTATTGGAGGTGCTGACAAGTAAAACTGAGCTCCTGAGATCTTGTACTTCTTAAAAATCCCACAGGTCTTTTTGCAAGAGTAGGGCTGTTAAAACTGGTATTCTGGAAAAATTTCAATCTAGGTAAATATTTTCTGCCGCCTCATCTCTCACTATAGTTGCAGCAGGATTTGGTATTCCTCCTTATTCCTTGCTCTCAACTGCTGTGGAGTGTTGCTGTGCGCTGTTATCAAGTCCTGCACCAGAGCTGATTGCATTTCAACAGTGGGAGAAATTATCTTTTTCTTTACTCTGTGTTTTAGTTCGTAAAGTGTTTTGGAATCCGGGTTGAGAGGTGCTCTGTGCAGAGGATGTATGCCAATGAGCCACAGTCTGCCCCCAGGGAAGTCAATGGGTCAACATCTCCCCACAGGGAAGTGAGTGGGGCAAATTATGCTCTCTTTTAAAGTGCTGTATATTCACATGAAAGGGGACAGTTTCAGCTCAGTTTCACTTTAAGATTTTGGGGTTGAACTCAACACTCTGGGCGGCCTCTGAAGCCGTGTGGTCTGAAACCAAAGGAAGTGTGGGTCCCAAGAGCTATGAAGTGAGACCACAGAGCTTTTCTCTGCCCTAAATAATGCAGCCAGTAAAAGCATGCATTCCTGCAGCAACTGGCATCCCAGAGAACCCAACAGCATCTTACAAGCCAAGGTCCTGTTCCTGCTCTCATTAGAAGTCAGTGGGAGTTTTGCCAGACATATACCTTGATGGAAGTTACAGGAATCAGACAGTGCCTTCTGAGTAGGAAGGCTGGAATCAGTACAGTGGGGGAAGTGGAAATTCTGGTCAGGATGCTTTTGCAGGCCCCTACTCATAGCTAACATGCCATGGGATCTTTAATGTACATGCAGAGCAGATAGAGCCCTTTTTAAAAAAAAGTCTCCTCCAAAAGATGCTTACACAATATGGAATGTGATTTCTTTTCCTTGGAAAGCTGAGTTGACCATGTCACGATTCAAACATGGGGGTCTATGGATACCAGGGATTTCAAATCTGAAATTCACACCCCTTTTCAAACACAATTCCCTTTGCAGCTCCACCCAGCAGATACTCTGCTCTTACTATACACAGATCTACTCTGACCAAGGGAGCAGAGTAATGGAGTTTAGATTTGCTCTGTTGATGGGTGAGAAGAATTTCCCTAGTCAGAAAGCAAGAGTATGTTTCTCTTACCTACAAAGTCATTGTCAGTCAATTGCCTTTTGATCATGCAGATCTTTAGTGCTAAAAAACCAATTGCTAGGAAGACTCCCAGGGTAACTCCTATGATAACATACTTGGGGTCTGCAAGAAGAAATGAAAATAAATCACTGAATACACATTATTAAATAATAAAATATTTGGTCTTTTGGGAGTGTGGTGGGGAGACATAGGACAAAGATTCCAAAATTAACCTGAGCCCTATTCTTGGCAAATGGCGACCGCATTAGTTCTCCCACTTTAGAAGAAGTTGAATGTGTAGGGCTATCTAGTGACCCTCCTCAGCCGCACACCCGCAGTGCTAATTCACACCTCCCACTCCCACAGTAGAACTGTGCTCATTGGAACTGGTGATTGGGGGACCCATGTCAGGTTGCTGAACTTTGTGAACCAGTGAATAAATGAACAACCTTCAGTCAGACATGGGGTCAGTAGAAGAGCCCGCGTGGGCTAGAGATGAGGCTGGTGGCTTGTACTTCAGGAGACAATGGTGCTGTTCCTGACTCTGCCATTGGCATTCCATGTGACCTTGTCTATTTGGATTGTAAGGTCTTTGGGGCAGGGACTGTCTGTAACTGTGTATTTTGTACAGCACATAACATAATGGGACATCAAGCTGGTTTGGGGCCTAGCTGGTACGTTAATATTAATAGTAATTTAAAAAGCCAGGCTATGGCATCACTGTGCGTCATGTCTTTCTGTTCTCAATTGTATTTCAGTTTTAATTATAATAATATTTCCTGGGATACTAGTAAGTGGCTTTGTAAAAGTCAGGAAGGCTTGGAGCCGTGAGCCCCCAACTCAACAACTCTGCTATTAGAATTTTTGCTGAAGGGAGAGAGCAGCATTTTTAGATGTGACTTACGAAGCACATACTGGTTCTACTCTGTTTAAAGATCAGGTTCACAGACTGTATACTGCCCCTGTTCATAGCCTTTGGGGTTCCAGTCTGCATTCCCGTTACTCTAATTAAAACTAAAAGTCTAAAATCCTTGAAATATAGTTGTTGCTGTTACTGCATTTTCTTAGTTCTTGGCTCCCACCTCTGTACAGACGGTAACATCCTGAGATGGACTCACCTATTGCCTCCTCCTCAGATGTTCCAGAGGCAGAGACCTTTGCTCTCCAGAAATCTGAAATAAAAGTGATTTGACCTGTCAGAATATATAGGAGAATGTATTGTATCCTGCTAGTGACTGTACTTACCTGATAAATAGAGCTGGAACGAATCATGCTAGCCTACAACATATAAGCATGTGATCAATTAATAGCCGTACATAGGGTTTATAAATGGATCTAAGGCCTTGTAGAGCAGAGATTATCAGAATGATATTTAATGGGGACATCCCTGAGGAACTGGCATCAGCCTTTCCATTCTACAAGTCTGTAGGCTACTCGCATGGGAGACAAGTCTGAAATGTCGTCATTCCCACTGGAAACAAAAGAGAGATTCCAAATCTGATGACTATTAAAACATCTTGGGAAAGGCAGATCCATCCTTTCCCACAAAGCCATGTGTGGCCTACATTCTGAACTATCAGCTTTTGCAAAACAGAAAATATCCACTGTTTTGCATGGACAATTTCAAAGGGGAAAAAAATTAACATTTCCCACTAAAAAAAAAGTTCACAATTTCCCCCTGCCCCTCCAGATTTTGGTCTTTCATTGAAAATTTCTAATGAAATGAAAATTTTCTGCAAAAACTTTGGTTTAGGAAAAAAGGCTATTTTTGCTAGAACATTTCCAACTAGCGCTGCTCAGAATGACAGCAGTGGCACCTGACGGCGTCAGGCACACAGACACTGAGATGGGATTTTTATGCAGATTTTAAAAAGTGCACATAAGGAATCATTCCTCCTCACTGTGTTTTGCGAAGGGTGCAACTCTTGTCTCCTTTACCGAGATGCTAATAACAGAGAAAGGGCTCCAGACCTGGAGGCCTGGATTAATCTCAGTGATTGACAATGGATTTATGCTGGAACAAATCTAGCCCTGCATATTAAGGCTTCAGAAAATCTTGAGATTGGCTTTAAAAATCACGAGATTTTATGTCATATAAATGTCAGATTCTTTTTGAGCCCTCAGTGTTTACATTTTAAAACTTTATTCTGCACTCAGGAGGGCTGTAAACTTACTTTTAAAAAATTATTTGTTTTCCTATTGTAGTCACATGACTCCAGGAGCTGAGGCTTCATGAAAAACACCTATGATAAACCTGCAAGAGTGGACAACACTGCATGACCAGTGTCCCAGTTACAAAAAAGGAAATTAAAATGATGTTGAAAGGCTCTAAGGGAGGAAAGGGTGTGGAACACTTAGGTTTTAATTTAGAAACCAAAGAGCTAACTTAATTCGCTTTGCTTCAGCATGTGAACTTATTTCATTATAAATATAAAAAAAGCCTTCCTTCTACCCATCCCCTTAATTATTCTTTCTGCTCATATGAAGAATGTTTTAAATTCAAACATAATAAAAGTAATATTGTATTACTTTTATTATCCTAATGATCATAATACAGAGACCTTCATGTCTGCTTTCTAATGGAATTAAACTGGTGGTGGATTATGTGTTTTATGGCAGGAATCATATTTTACATGGCATATTTCATGTAGGTCAGTCTAATATAGAGAGATTTAATTATTAGTTTCTTTTTAAAAAGGGAGGGACGGAGGCCTCTGGAAGCCCATAGGAATTGGGATGATGCTTTCAATTCATACGCTTCCATATAGATTTGATGAAGATTTAATAATAGCTAGTGGGTGCTGTTTAAATACCATTTGCTTCTGAGTTTAATTTCACTTAAATATAAAACAATCGGGTTGTTTTCTTCCACGTGACAAGAGCTGTGTCATGGAGCCCACGTCTGAAACCATGTATTGCTCGCATGTTTGTTGCAACCCACAAAATCAGCTTTGGTTTGTTGAAATGTTTGCATCTTCTCAGCAGAAATGGGATAGAACGGAGGGAATAGCTTTGAATACCGCCCAAATTCTGGAGAAGTCCAGATCCAGCTTTACGACTGGCTGCCATCTCTATAATGTGCCAAACATAACTCCCAGATCTGAATCCCCCATAATTTTGGAAATAGTTAGATCTTGATCATAACTTTGCAACTTTACAGAACTATCTCTGGTTTTGAGCGACCACTGGAACATTTTCAAGCAACCTTGGGCCAACTGATAGTCGCTGGTCCCGTTCCCTTCACTACCCAACTCACGTGCAATATGCAATTTGCACAATAATGCACATTATTTATTTATTTGTATTGTGGTGGTACCCAGGAGCCCCTGTCATTGATCAGGAGCCCCTTGTGCTTGGAAAACCAGAACAAGCAGAATAGAAAGATAGTCCCTGCCCCAAGGAGCTCACAATCTGTCTTATAAGGGTTTAACTCAGCAGCTTTAACTGAGTGTTGCTCTACGTTCTTGTTCGAACCTGAAATCCAGCCTGACATTCGTGTGAAACCACCCAACTTGAAAGAAAAGGAAAAGGTTTGACTATGTCATGAGCACAAAGAGTGAGACCTGAATTTCCAGTCTAGATGGATTGCATTTTAGATTAAAGAAAACAACAAAGAAAGAAAGAACAAGTGTAATGTCTCTATGAGGGGACCAGAGCATCTCTGTCTGTAAGAACCTCCACTGTGAGTGCTCTCCCCATCCCAGCAGACCTTAAATATAAAGGGGCAGAATACAGAGAACAGAATCATAGCTAAATGCCCCCACTGTGAACTTCTGCAATGTGAAATGGCCCCTTGTGTACAGCTCTGCTGGTGAATTTCACTGTATACATGTGTCCCTGGGCCAAGGTGCAGAGAAAACTAGGGCTCCGTGGTGCACTGTGATGTGCGGACTGGCGCTGGAGGAAACATCAATAGTTCATCCCTCACATCTCAGTGCTGAACAATAACGTGAAAAATAAACCATGTCAATTGTTCCCACGTCATCATCTGGCCGTGAATTGTATCAATATGATGCCTCACCTCTCACAGCAATCAGCACTTTCTCCAGCCTCTTTTCTCCTGTTGTTTTCTAGTCCCTTGAGAACTTTTCCCTCTTTACCTTTTCAGATCTCTCCCTCCCTCCCATTCTTCACTGCATTCCAGTAAACAACAGATGGCCTTGTGGCATCTCAGTAGCCACCACTGGCATGTGGTCAATGCTGTTAATGCTGGGGAAAGCAAGTGGGTAGAAGGGGAGAGAGAGGCAGAGGCCTGGAAGATTGAGAGGTGCGGGGAAAGGCAAACAGCAAACCTTGAGTGGGCAGACAACTCTGGAGACAAATATAGACTATCCATGGAGATGAAGGGGAGAGAGAAATCCAGGGGGGATGGAAATAATTCCTGAGCTATTAGAAAAAAGGAAAATATTTGGGCAAGGTACCATGGCATTTGCACACCAAGAATACAACAACTAGACCAATGGGTTGGTTCATGAGTCAGGCACTATTGATGTCCAGGCAAACTGAGTCCTTCCTCCTTCATCATTATGGGCCATATGTTAACACCCACCCAGAGACAGGAATCTGGGCCCCTCCCTAGCTTTATCTGCACTGGAGAGATGTGGCATTGGCTACAGCAGTACAAGTAACACACATACACCCTGTTAACGCCCCTTGCATCTTCTCCAAAGGACTTACAATGCTGCATGGTGCTATTGCAATGGAGCAAGTCACAGTGCAGTGCTGTGTGGAGGGCAGTTGAATTAGAATGCTCTGTGTAAATGTAGGACTGCTGCAAGTTGCACTGGGGTAACTCTCTGAGGCTGTATGAGGCTAATGAGTTTCCTGTGATTACTCCCATTGAGAAGGAGGGCTGGGGCGTGTTCCCCTGCAAGGGCTGCTGCCCCCAGTAGCAGCAGATGACTCCCCAATCCCGTAAATCAATAGAAACTAGACTAATCTGCATATTGGCTGAGTGTTTTTGCATGAGCTGCAGGCTCTGCTCTGCCCTTAGTAGGGCTCTTCCTCACATGTCCCCGCAATATGCCTCAGTGTCCCCATGTGTAAAATGGGGCTGGATAATCCTAGCCCGTCTCATGACAGGGCTGTTGTGAGAGCAAATGTGTCTGATGCTGGCAGATGCTCTGAGAACACCCAGAAAACTTTATGTTCTGCATGTCAAGAGTGGGCATGTGAATTGCTAAGCAAGGTATATGGAGAGGTAAGAAAGGGGCTTGCACACAGAATGCACATAGACTATTGCTTTTTAATTACACTGTAAGTGAAATCCCTAGGAGAATGGTCTGCAGCCATCAGCTATCTCACCAGCAGAGAAGCAGGTATGTAACTGAACTGTGCCTTTTGTTTTGTCATGTCCGATCCCTCATATATCTGCTGCACTCCAGCTATGAAACTCTGTCTAGAAAGCTCAGCGAAGTAACATCACCCCCTCGATAAATATTCCCTTTCCATTTTGCACAGAAATAAACTTTAAAACCCAGCACACACACAATCTGGCTGAGAAATAAACAGCACCAGCACGATCAAGAAATAAACAGTACAGCAGCACCCCATAGCTTAAATATTTAGCCTGTGGAAAGAAAGGGAAAGGAAATACATTGGATCACTTACATAAGAGAAGCAGAAACGTAGTTAGGACAGGAATCCAGCTTGTCAGGAAGATCATTGTACCTTTCAGTGACCCAACAATTTCACCTAAGCTTGCTGGATTTCTTTCTTTTGCAGTGTGGAAAAACAACAACCAACTCAGATCACGTGTTTGTGATAGGAAACAGCAGCCACATCCTGAGTATCTGTGTGTTTGCAAATATATCAGTTCCCTTTTTTGGATTTAAAAGGTAGCAATAATGTCCCTGCTTGAAAGTGGCATGCAAATGGTGGATTGCAAACAGCTTCAGGCCAATACAGAACTCTTGCTTATTTAGCATAACCTGACGTATCAACAGGTTTTTCCTCGAAGCAATGACTGAACTGCAAACACTAACAGTAGTGAAATGGTCTTTGCAATAGTCCTTTAAATCTAGAGGGGTGTGACGCTGTCATGTGGGGTTGCCCTGGTTCAGATTTAATAATAACCATCTACCAGAAACTCCCTGAACGCTGCCAAATATTTGGAGCTCAAATTTAACTATTTCATATATTCTTTAAAGAGACAAGTCTGAGCCACTAGATCTACATCCAGATTCTAACCCCTCCCAAAGTCTGGCTGTGGGTTTTGGTTTGGCCCCTTGGTGAGGTATACTGGCCTTTCAGGACTCCAGGGAAACCCTGTATGGGCTAACAAAACACCAATCCAAGCCAATGCCTGGAAAGGAAACCCACAGTGCCTGTGTCTACCAACAAGAAGCATAGAATCATAGGACTGGAAAGGACCTTGAGAGGTCATCTAGTCCAGTCCCCTGCACTCAGGGCAGGACTAATTATTATCTAGACCAGGGGTCTCAAACACGCGGCCCGCAGAGTTATTTGCTGTGGCCCGCCAAGCTCCCTGCACCCCCCTGTCGCCCCTGGAGTTATTTCCTGCAGCTGCCAAGCTCCCCTCACCCACCAACCCCCGCAGCGCACTGCGTCCCCGCTCCTCTGCCTACCTCCAGGCGCTTCCCGCCGCCAAACAGCTGTTTGGTGGTGCTTAATGCTTTCGAGGAGGGATGGGGGAGGAGCGGGGAGCCGCGTGCTCAGGGGAGGAGGCGGAGAAGAGGCGGGGCAGGGGCAGGGATTTGGGGACGGGGTTGGAATAGGGGCAGGGAGGGGGTGGAGTTGGGGTGGGGACTTTTGGGGAAGGGGTTGGAATGGGGGCGGGAAGGGGTGGGAAGAGGCGGGGTAGGGGCAGGACCTCATGGAAGGGGTGGAATGGTGGGGGCTTTTGTACCTTTATATGAAAAGGTGTCAGTGATGTGGCTCTTGGGCCAATGTACTAGTTCTCATGTGGCCCTCGTGGTGATTTGAGTTTGAGACCCCTGATCTAGACCATCCCTAACAGGTCTAACGTACTCTTAAAAATTTCCAGTGATGGAGATTCCACAACCTCCCTAGGCAATTTATTCCAGTGCTTAACCACCCGACCAGTTAGGAAGTTTTTCCTAATGTCCAATGTCCTAATGACAGAAACAGGATTCATACAGGACCTTGAGTATTCTCTTTTCTTCACCTTCCCTCACCTGGGCTTTTCTGGGCTCCAGAGCATTTCCGCCTAATCACAGACTTTTGGGGAAATCCCTCGGGCTCACTCCAAGAATCTCAGGGCTTTCTGTGCTGCAGCAGGTACAGTGAATAGAATAGAGGAGAGCGAGAACCTGTTTATGCAGGCAGGAAACAAGGCCTATCTTAATCTCCAGGGTGTGGTGTCACGTAGGCCTGGTTTACACAAAAAGTTGCACTCACTCCTTTAACTAAAGCTGGGTTTTGCACCAGTTTAACATAACAAGTGTGGATGCTCTTAAATGGATTTAAACCTGGACTTTATTCCATCCTGTACAAGTTCTTATCCTGGTCACTTCACTGTAGTACCTGAGCACCCTCCACTCATGTATTAAGTGAGGTTCCTAATGTCTGTCACCTAGGGTTCATTCTCTCTCATGCTTTCCCTCGGGGGAGAATTGTGTGTGCAATGGCATATTTTGTTTGGGTAGGGTTGGTTTATGTTGTTTGTTTTGTTTTTTAATTTTTTTAATCAGTTTCCTCTAACAAATATAGAGACACAAGCATGTCTGACATGACCCATTTTAAATCCAGATAAGAGGATTCAAACTGGGGCGTTGTAATGGTTTGACTAATTCAGATTCAAAACTGATTTTAATTAACCCAGTGCAACTTTTGCATGTAGACAAGGTCTTAAAGTCAGGCAGGAGAGTCTGTCCCTGGTTTAAGATATGTCCATTTTTTGTCAAAGCTCACAGAGATACCACAGGCCAGAGAATCTCACCCAGTTGAACCCAATAATTGTGTTCAACCCAATAATTGTGTTTGACTAACACAAATCTTCCAGAAAGTCTTGATTTGAAGGCATCAAGAAATGGAAACTCCACCACATCCCTTAGGAGTTTGTTCCAGCGATTAATCACCTTCACTGTAAAATGTATGCCTTATTTCTCATTTTAATTCATCTTTCTTTAACGTCCAGCCATTGGTTCTTGCTGTGCCTTTCTCTACTAGGTTAAAGACCCCTTTAGCACCTCATATTTTCTCCCTGTGATGTTACTTATACTCCGTACTCAAGTCATCTCTCAGTTTTCTTGACTCTACAGACTGAGGAGCATCCCAGATAAAGAAATCTCATGCCTTTTTGTTTCATACTGCAGAGCAGTGCCACCAGACACCCTGTTCTCAACAGACTTTAAGCTTCTTGGGGTTGGAAGAAGCATCTGGTCATTCAGACAGTCCCATGGCTTGAACCCAGACTCCAAACAGTTTGAGATTTGTCTGTCACTTAATTCCACGCCAGGAGAAATTCCTCTAACACAGTTGATGGATGAGTGTCAGGCAGTGCCAGATATGTGGGGTGGAGTTGTGGGGGATGGAAAATCTGATTTCAGTACTAGGATTTGCTCTCATCCTTTCCTAGCCTGGATGTTTTATGGGTTCTGCAACTTGTCCTAAAATAGCTCTTATCAAAACAATTGATTACCAGATAGGCCCAGGTCCTAGAGCACAGATAGAGAGACAGGCAGATGCATCTTAATTCCCTTTCCGAATGGATTCCAGTAATGAAGAGACATGCACAGTTAAGATTCAGAATGGGGTGTGGGTGGAGTTGGGGTTCTTACAACACCTATCCACTCCACTGCTCTTTCAAGGAGACGTTACACAGCAGCTTATTGCCCAAACTGGGGTTAACAAACACTCTATTTCAAATCAAAGCTCTGAGCTGGTTTCTAATAGAGGTAAAGTACGTTTATTAATAAAAGAATGTAGGATATTCAGGCTAAGGACTAAAGATAGAAATGGTTACCAACAAACAAAAGGAAGAATATGCATCTAAAACTTCAGTCTAACTTAACAGAGACTAGAGTCCTTTGTTCAAAAAACTTTCCCACCAGTTATTCTTGCAGCATGGCAGCAGTTTTATTTAGCCAAGACCCTTCACAGAACTCCTAGTGCTCAGTTTCTTTCCCCCTCTCTTTATAGTCTAGTTAACCTTTGAAATGTATTCTTCAAAAAGTAAGCCCAGACAAGTTTTTCTGTCCTGCGGGGGTGGAGACGCCATGCTGTCTTCTACCATGCTTCTGAGCTTTGTTTACTTTATATGTAAATACACCTTCATGGTCTCTTCCCGAGGACCAGGCTGGTCAGACAAGGAAATCCACATTCCTCTGTTTAGGGCAGACTGGATTATGCACTGCTTGTCAAACAAACAATTCTAGCACATAGTTACAACCCTTTGTACGCACCCCACGTAGTGATTTTTGGGACCAACGTGTCACTGGTTTGTGTATATGATACCTTGCAAGACACCTTTTAGATACAGATTATGACACCAGTGTGTCAGGTGTAGTGAGTGTTTCAGGCCTGGCAAGGCCTGACACAGAGCAATGAACTGCCAATGGGCCTCTGTGGCCCAGTAGGATCCAGCAGCTTCAGCGAAGGGAGCCTGAATTGGGGATGTGTAGTAAGACTTTCCTGTGCTCAAGAGGGTAAGAGGCCACCTCTAGATCAGATTTCAGAGTAGCAGCCGTGTTAGTCTGTATCCGCAAAATATATGCATCCGAAGAAGTGGGCTGTAGTCCACGAAAGCTTATGCTCTAATAAATTTGTTAGTCTCTAAGGTGCCACAAGTACTCCTGTTCTTTTCTCTAGATCAGAGGTTCTCAAACTGGGGGGCGGGCCTAGCAGGAGCAGGCAGGAACATATTCGGGGCGGGGGAAGGAGTGAGAAGCTGGGGGGCGGGAAGACCTTATTGTGCACATTTTACCCACAGCTATGAATATCTAGCAAAGCTGATTCCTCCTGCCCTATCAGATCCTCAGATGGCTCTGTGCATTTTGATTGATTTCTGTTAAGCTTGCATAGCATTGTAAGTCGTTGCCATCTGTATGTTAAGCCATTTGCTACAATGGATCGTTGGCGCTATTTGACAAAACATTAAAAACAGTAAGGCATTGATTCAGAGTTGCATGTCGTTTTTTTAATCAGTATATGTACCTGTGTGGCGGGAGGGGGAGGGCATAAACTACGACAAACACAAGGTGGGGGGTGCGATCATATACGTTTGAGAACCACTGCTCTAGATAAACAGCAGCTGAGTTCGTTCACGGGTTTACTTGTAGTTAGTAAAGTAAGAGCTTGTTAAAACAAGTCTGGAGTGAAGCTGTGATGACAGTTTTCCCGAAGTAGCCTTTGAAAAGCACCTACCATACTTATCAGCAAGCACCCCGCTGCTCAGGACAGGGTGCTTGGAATAAAGGAGCAGTGGGAGGAGTGACACGAGGTAAAAATTTCCAAATGCAAAGCTTAGTGGTAGCAGCAGTTACTGAGATGCAGGAAAACCAGGCTCATGAGAGTAAGTTCTTACGTAAAAGATGTTTATGGGGGGTGGATTTTACACCTGCCTCTTGAAGCATCTGCTGCTGGCCACTGTCAGAGAGAGGGCACTGGACTAGACGGACCACGGCTCTGATCCTGGATGGCAATTGCTTAAAAAACAGCAATTGAGAACAAGCATTGATCAGACACATTCTGGACTGCCACGTCATGAAGCGCTCCTCCCTAGCTAGTGAATTACATTTTGAAACTCACAATTGCTTAAGAGAGCATCTGTGGATGCAGCCTTATCATAGCTAAGAATGGGCAAAATGATTTGGTTAAAATAAAGTGTGATCCAAAACTTGCATTGAGTCCGTCTGTTTATTTAAGACTCACACAAGATTGGTTGACTATTTTCCCCCCTAATTTTTCATCGTGGTTCTGGCTGGGTCCAGAAGTAGAAGCACTAAAATACCACGAGAGAGGCTGAGCTCACTGTATTTCCGGCCCAGCTTGA